GCACCAATCAATAATAATGTTGATGTTAGCAAACTTCATTGCATTCCAACACCAATAAGGCCAACACATACTATCACCAATAAGATTGATTCATCGTTGACACTAATACTAATGCTTGTTGTTACAAACAATGCTGACATATCCTATGCCTTTGACACCAACATCAATGCTTACTGACTTCATTGCACATTATCGTCATTATATTCGACTCATGTCATCACTAATAAGGTTAATACACACCATCAACACTAAAGTAAACATCCACATCTACGAGACCAATTGTTTCCAACAACGTCAATACAAATCATCATTAATTGATAAATATCAATTGTCAACATCAATCTTGACGTCTGGCCTTGTCAACTTTGACGTCACACGCCATCACCACTAATGTTAATGCCCAACGCCATCATCATGGCTAACATTAAACCTTTCGGTCTTTGGTATCCCCACCTCTATCGATCGATATGCATGAATAGATTACCAATTATATATTTAAGATAACTCTAATACTTGAAGCCTTATCCAACTTCAATTATGAAATTCATCCTTCATAATTTATATCTATTATAGTGTATCAACATATTTTCAAATAACTAAAAAAGACATCATTTGTAATCTTTAACATTACCTTGCGTAAGAGAATTGGACTTTGATCGCTGTTGACAATATTCAACATTTGTTAGATAGTTTTTCATGCTATCACTGGAGAGAACTTGAGCATCCGTAAGAGGACTAGACTTTGATTATCTCAAATGGTTTTCAACTCTTGCTGATAGGTATCTTGTATGAGAAAACCAGCATTTGATCCCTGACAATAGTAATCAACATTTGTCAGATAATTTTTACTCTGTTGGAGGAAGAACTTGAGCATGAGGACTAAGCTTTGATCTTCAATGATGTCCTCTAAAGTTTTTTCTAGACTATTTTTTCCCTCAATTTATGGGAGAAACTTTGGATCAACTTAGGAGAAGTGTGTAATAACCCGTATTTGATCCATGTAAATAATTTTTTTTCTAGAGTCAATATAACTCCAAATCACAAACCGCTTTCACCATATCATTGTTATTATTGTATTTTACTTGTGCATTTTTTTTTTTGTAATTTTTAAGCACTGGTGAAAATCCTTGAGAATTGGCACCTAACGATACAAGTGGAAACTTTGGGACTGTCGAGTGTCCATTTTATAAATTAATTTCAGCAATATTTATTAAATAAAATGTTTTATTTTATGAACATTTTTCTGTAATTTTTGAAGTCCTAAAATAATTTATTTAAACTTTATACTAAAGAAATTAATTAAATTATATAATATTAAATTATTATTTTAATAAAATTTCCTAAGTCACTAATTAAAAACTTTAAAAATCCCTTTCCCCATTGAAAATAGCTAAGAGAGAAATGGAAAGTAAATTAGTAGAGGAAATATAAGAGAGAGAAAAAGAAAATCAAGATTTGAAGGTTACAAAGAGATTTTCGTCAGTAAGCCTAATTAGAAATTTTGCTCATCTCACTCTAAGGAACCTTTATCCTATTTATGATTTTAAAGATTTTTGTTTTTGATATTTTTCTGATCAAATTTGTATTTCTGTTATCGAAAAATGAGAATAATTTTATATTGGTAAAACTTTTTACCGTGGAACTTTTTATATGTTATAGAGATTGAAATTATAAACATTTTGAATATTTATTTAAGATTTTTCATCAGTTGGTTTTGAAAATATAGTAATTTTTATCTGCTTAAAAAATTATTTTGACTTTAAAAATAGTGATTTAATTCAACTAAAGTTTCATAATATTATTTTATAATTTGGTTAAATTTTGGAAACATAAATTTATACATTGAAATAATAAACAAACTACATAACTACTAAAATGAAAATAAACTCATTCATCAAGTTTTTTTCATTAAACATCTACACTATATTATATGGCTACATATAAGAGCTATATAACTAAAAATTTAAATAGTAATGATTGTACAAAAATCAAAATAGCAAAATACATATGACTTTAAATATGATCATAAAATGCTAGTCCACATACCCTTTCCCCTTCCCACATTATGAAAATCAGAAGCAAAATCATAGTGACCTACAACAGCTTAGCAAACCACATAAATTAATCTAAATGTTCAAATATTTTCTGAATATTAAAAAGTAGTTAAATACATTTTCAATAAAAATAACTTAATTACTATAATGAGAGGTGTAATAAATGCATAATAGTTATTTCCTAATTTAAATAACAATAATGAATAAATAAATAAATAAAAATTTATATTATAGAGCATTTTATATCACATTTCTCAGATCCAGATGGAAACTCAAAGGATTCTAGCTCCTTATGACTCTCTTTTCATTTTTGCTTATAGCACCAGAACATATCATATTTCCCTGTCTTAGACAAAATTTCAAAAGATTTTGGCCTCTTAGTAATTCCCTTACACAGACATAATCTCAAAGGATTCTAGCTCCTTATGGCTCCCAAGATATATAAATTAATCACATATGAACATATATCATCATATTAGAATAATTAAAGAGCAATTGAGCATGTAACAAAATTTCACAGTGTTGTATAACAGTAGACAATATAAAATTTAACTAGCAAAAAATACACATTTTCAAAATATTATCAAATTACCAGGATTTGAAGACTTTTATTATACTGCACCACTATTTTTAAAATATATTACTAATTTTTTATTCAATAAAAATTCTGCAAATTTCAAAATCCATACTATGAGATTTTTAGAAAATATTCAAAATGTTCATAACCTCTATAATATATAAAAAGTTACGCGGTGCAAATTTTACATGTGCAAAGTTGTACATATTTTTTGCAAACGGATAAAAATTTTAAATCAAAATATTTGCTAAAAATTACATATTTTTTTATAATTGAGATAAGCATAATATGTCTTACCTCGAGATGAATAAGTGTATGAGCTATGCCGATCTGAAAACAACTTGAAGTAGCCCAAAATCCGATTTTTCTCTTTCTCTCTCCTCTCTTTCTCCCTAATTCACTTAGGTTTCCACTATGTTAGCTGTGAGTAATTTAGGGGAAAATGAGAATGGCTTTATAAATATTTTATTATGCTTTTAGTCATTTTCTAATTTTTTATTATTACATAATATATAATAATTAATTTTCAAAAGAAAATTCATATATAGAAATTTTCTTAGGAATTCCAAAAATAATTGAAATATATTCATAAATTAACTTGTTTTATTTAGAAAATTTAGTGAAATTAGTTTGCAAAACGGACACCTGACGGTCCCCAAAATCCACTTGTGCCGGCATGTGCAGATTTCTTAAGAAATTTCAACAGTATCAAAAAATTATGAAAAATTTGGAGAAATTAAAGCACTCTACAAATGTTTTGGCAAAGACAATTTGTGATGTAGACTTATAATAACTTTTGAATTAATTATTGATTGCTCTATATGTTAACAAAAAAAAATCTTGAAAGTTTAAGGCTTTCACACTATGCTCTCTTCGTACTCTGTTGTCAGCCGACTATGAACCCTCTGACCTCCATCACCTGACTTGACTACAATCTGTCTGACCTCTGTCTGTCAACTACGATCCCTCTGACCATAACCGCTTGCAAACCAAGTGTAATAACCCATATTCAACAATCAAATAATATTTAAGAATTCATTAGAAGTCCAATTTATAAATAAACTTTGCCATAATATATATATTTTTGTGATTTAATTATAATAATCTTATCCTAATTTTATGGTAATATAAAAAATTAATATATGTTAGTTTATGTGAATTTTTTTGGGACTGTTGAGTGTTTGTTTTGTAAATCAATTTCATCAGATCATTTTAGACATGTTGGACTATTTAATAAATATATTTTTTTTATAATTTTTTTATTCACAAAATTGAAAATATAAAAGAATTTATATAAATTTTATGCTAAAAATTGAACAAATTGCATAATTAATTTTGTGTCCTTATATTATTTTATTATAAAATATCTTTAACCACTTACATTCCATTAAAATTCCATTTCCTTCTTCCGTTCTGCTAACAGAGAGCGGAAATTGGATTAAGGAAGAAAAAGAGAGGGAAACCTAGATAGCGGTGTCAATTATTGATCCGACCTGAACTCGACCCGAAAAATCTTGATTTGGGTTAACTCGTTTAACAAAAAGGATTCGATTCCAATTTTGGGTTCTTCTAGTTCTTTAAGAAAAATCAGGTCGGGTTATGGTTAACTCACTAATATGAATTTAACCCGATTTGATCAAAATCCCGTCTGACAGCGCTAGTCACCCCCACACGCACAAGCACCTTGCCCTGACCCTGACTCGCACACTCGCTCCCACATAAGAAACTACACCCGTAGTCGCGCTGCTCGCCTAGTACTTGCCCTCACCCTCGCCCATGATGCGACCTTGCTCTTACATGCAATCGTGCTTGAACACATGCGTGCGGTCCAGTGCAGTTGCCTTACCTTGGTCCACATGTAATCACACTCACAGTCGTACACTTGTGAGCAGTCCCACCTGGCCCCAGTCACGCTCGTGCGAGTCTGGTCAGGTCAAATTGATAATCCAACAGGTCGGGTTCAATTTTTGGATCAATTTGTATACTTGGATCAAGTTCGGGCTAGATCGATCAAAAGGCGGGTCAGTTTTGGGTTGAATTTTTGACACCACTAGGTTCAGCTATCCTTTTATAATTTTAATTTTTAAAATTTTATTCGAATCATGGCTATCAAATTTCCAAAAAAAAAAAAAAATCCACGTCAACGGCACTGTATGGGATGGACATTTCTTGTTTTAATTTGATGACATCAATGTTCCATGACGTTAAAGAAAATTAATACAAGAAATTATGGCACGTAAAATGCGGAATTTCCTCCGAATCCAACGAGTCAAAATCTCCCTCTCACCCCACTTTACCGTCTTACCGATTGCTAATGCGGACAACGCTATTTTGTCTTCTCAAGCACACTTCCTCAAACACTTTAATTTCATAACCGATCCGCTATCCTTCTTCTCCACCCTTATGGCAGATGTAGCCATTAGTGTTCGGAAGAAGTTTCTACTTCGTAGAGGGAGGTTTGGATTCCCAAGTTCGCTTCATGTTTTTATCTTCTTTCAAATTCTTTTTCTTTCTTTAACCCAAAAAAGTTCCTGACTGTCAGACGATTCCCATTTGAAATCTTCTTCTTGCGTTTTTTTATACGGTAGAATTCCATCTTTTTTTTTTAAAGGATGTTTCCTTGTAAAAAATCTTTCTTTTTTCGCTTTCTCCGGCTTTATCTCCCGTAATTTTGGCGCAGATAGACGAGTATTGTAAATGAATCAAATCTATCAATTAGAACAGGAATTATGCGAGGTATTCGCTGTATCTTCGATTATATGTTATATCTTCTGTGAGAGAATTAAAGTGTAACAATGGCGAGCTCGATGCTTCTGCTCTTCTTCTCCGTTTGCTGTTTGGGATCGTTGGTGTCCGGCGCGACGAACCCAAAGGATTTCGCCGTCCTCGACGAGTTTCGAAAGGGCCTTAACAATCCCGAGCTGCTGAAATGGCCGACCTCAGGAGACGACCCCTGCGGTCCTCCGCTATGGCCTCATGTGTTCTGCTCGGGCTCTCGAGTGACGCAGATCCAAGTCCAGAACTTGGGTCTTAGTGGCCAATTACCCAAGAATTTCAACCAGCTCTCCAATCTGATAAATCTCGGGTTTCAAAGGAACAATTTTTCCGGCCCGCTTCCAACCTTCAGCGGCCTCTCCAATTTACAGTACGCATATCTCGTCGGCAACCAGTTCGATACCATACCCTCCGATTTTTTCTCCGGGCTCACAAGCTTGCTTGAAATCGCTTTGGATCAAAATCCTTTGAATAAAACATCTGGCTGGGCGATCCCTCAGGACTTGCAGGCCTCTACCCAGTTGAGGAATTTGTCTTTGATCCAATGCAATGTGGCGGGCAAGCTGCCGGATTTTTTGGGCACAATGCCAATGTTGAGTACCTTGAAGCTCTCTTACAATAACCTCTCCGGTGAGATACCAGAGAGCTTCGCAGGCTCTTCGTTGCAGACCATTTGGCTTAATAATCAGGAAGGAGCCGGACTTACAGGTCGGCTGGACGTGATTGCATCCATGGTTTCTGTAACCGAAGCCTGGTTGCATGGAAATAGCTTCAATGGTCCAATCCCCTCTGGAATTGGGGCTTGCACTTCTCTGACACGGCTATGGCTTAACAACAACCATCTTGTTGGCCTGCTACCGGAAGATTTGGCAACTCTACCTCATCTCCAGTCTCTGAAATTGGACAACAACAATTTGATGGGTCCAATACCAAAGGTCAAGTTTGCGAATTTCACTTATGCCTACAATTCTTTTTGTGATTCGACTCCTGGAGTTTCCTGCTCGCCTGCGGTCACTGTGCTTCTTGAATTCCTTGTTGGTTTGAATTACCCATTAGAACTGGCATCATCATGGGGAGGAAATGATCCATGCACCCGTGATTGGTTCGGAGTTTCCTGTTCTGATGGCAAGGTTTCTGTTATAAATTTACCTAATTTAAAACTAAGTGGAACAATTAGCCCCTCGCTTGGCAAGTTGGGTTCATTGGTGGATATCAGACTTGGGGGCAATAACTTGAGTGGAACTATACCTGCAAATCTTACTGGTTTGACAATGCTGAGGATGCTAAATGTTTCTGCTAATAATTTAGGCCCCCCTGTTCCCAAATTTAGCCGCAGTGTGACACTTCTTACTGATGGAAACCCATTGTTGAAGAATTCTCCTCCTGCAGCTTCTCCTACTGGAAATTCGCCTTCTAATGAACCACCTTCTGGTTCAGGATCCGGGAATTCTACTTCTCCTTCCCCACCTCATAGTGTTCCAAGCAGTGCTGCAGCAGATGATATGAAAAGCCGGCATGGTTCCGATATATCGAAAATCTTGATCATTGCAGTTTTAGCTGCCGTTGTAATTTTGGTGGTTTTGTTTGTAGTTGTCCTATTCTGGTGCAAGCAGAAGGGTAAAGATAGATTTGTGGCATCAGAATCTGTTGTTATGCACCCAAAAAATTCTTCAGACTCAGATAATCATATCAAATTAACTGTGACTAATAGTTCTAATGGCAGCACATCCATAAGTAATTTGCTGGTTGGAAGTGGAAGCATTATGAGCAGAGCACTCTCAAGTGATGAAGGGAACTATACTATTTCTGTTCAGCTCCTTCGCAGCTCGACCAATAATTTTTCTTCGGAAAATGTCGTTGGGCGGGGAGGTTTTGGGGTTGTTTACAAGGGTGAGTTACATGATGGAATGCTGATAGCAGTGAAAAGAATGGAGGCTGCTACATTAAGCAATAAAGCTCTGGATGAGTTCCAATCTGAAATTGTTGTTCTTTCTAAAGTCAGACATCGTAATTTGGTTTCTTTGATGGGTTACTCTGTGGAAGGCCATGAAAGGCTTCTTGTCTATGAATACCTCCCGAATGGGGCTTTAAGCAAGCATCTCTTCCAGTGGAGGAATCTGAACTTGGAGCCTCTGTCATGGAAGAAGAGGCTTAATATTGGATTGGATGTAGCTCGAGGAATGGAATATCTTCATAGCTTGACTCAAGAAAGCTTCATTCACAGAGACCTCAAGTCTTCAAATATTTTACTTGACGATGAATACCGAGCTAAAGTTTCTGACTTCGGATTGGTGAAGTTAGCTCCCAATGGTAATAACTCAGTGATTACTAGGCTGGCTGGGACATTTGGATATTTAGCTCCTGAATATGCTGGTGAGTTCATATTTTCTATTAAATAGATTTATTTCTCATCTCTGGAACTTATTTTAGCTGTTGCAAACTTGGATATGGTTTTTCTTGAAGCTAATCGATTTGTTGCTATCTTGATTGGTTAAGTGACTGGCAAAATCACAACAAAAGCTGATGTCTACAGCTTTGGAGTGGTTTTGATGGAGCTAATTACAGGCATGGCAGCCCTTGATGAGGGCCGTCCAGAAGAAACCCGTTACCTTGCCTCGTGGTTTACAGAAATAAAATCTGACAAAGCGAAGCTTTATGATGCCATTGATGCCGCACTTGATAACAAGGAGGAAATTTTTGAGAGCGCGGTGACTGTGGCTGAGCTAGCAGGCCACTGCGCAGCACGGGAACCACATCGTCGTCCTGAAATGGGCTATGCTGTGAATGTCTTGGCTTCATTGGCAAACAAATGGAAGCCTGCAGATGATGAGCAGGAGGAATATTTTGGCATTGATCTGCATAAACCTCTTATTCAGTTAGTGAAAGGTTGGCAAGATAGTGAAATGACTTACTCATCTGCAGTCGATGATAGCAAAGGAAGCATACCATCTAAGCCTGCAGGATTTGCAGAATCCTTCACATCTGCTGACGGCCGGTGAATGTGCTTGGTAATCCCTTTTTATTAGTGTCAATAAGTTTTGTTCATATATGTGCTGGTACATTTTGCTGCAATCCATATATACCCTTTGCGTTTATTATCATAATAACTTTTTTAAATTTAGATGACTATTTGAGTTTGAGGATAGGAATGTTCCACGCCATGAATGAACTTTATTGCCTTTGTTTGCTAGCATGATTGAATCTTTAGTTTGCTGCATTTTGTTTCTTGTGTCAAATATGGTGCCAATTAGAATCTGTAATGAGCCAGTCCAGTTTTACTGAAATTATTGCAGATAAGACTTACTTGGAGTAGTCGCTAAATCTCATTGCATATATGTTATTTTATTTGTTTATATTCGGCAGTTTTTACTTGCTATTGTTGTTTGATCAATAGTTATCCTTTATTTTTTATCTAAGCTGGTTTTCTTTGTCTTGTTATGTAAATGGTATTTCCTTCTCCATGTTATGTGCAATAGCTTTAGTTTCCATCAGACTATTTGGTTGAAAAGCAAGTGAAAGAAATGCAATTCTGTTACCTGGCGCTTGTGGGGTTCTTTTGCCACCATTCAGTAATTTTCACTCTAAGGTCTTCTAATCTAAGCATTTTTTCCTCTCTCTCTCTTTTTTTTCTTCTTATCGTATCATAATAATATCATGTATGCTGATACAATAATTTTTCCATTGATGTTGATGATTTGAACGGGGTTTGTTTTTATGTCAATGCATTTTCATTTTAGAATTTTGTTTAATCATATGGAGCTAAAATATTTTATAGATAAAAATCTTCATAAGAAATGATTGAATCTCTTATGTAAATGCAAATCTTTGACTAACTTTATGAGCTATGAGAATATTTTTGGAGACCTTTTATGAATTTAAAAATTTGAAGAAACAATTCATTTACTTTTGTAGATTTTGTGAGATTTCTTAAAGTTGTTGAGCCATCTTGTAATATCTTGTGGGATCTTGTAATAAATTTTTTCTGTCTCCAAACCGTTCCTTGTTACCATTATGAATAGAGCCTCAGAAATGGTTTTGCATTTCACAACCACAACCAAATAAAGAGAAGAGGGAGATAGAATGTAGATCTTTACCTTCTTCAAGGAGGTGCTAGTAGTTTCAATTCTATTAAAAAAAGAAGCATTCAACCAGAACAGGGAGATGCTCTTGTTTGAACTCTTGTAATAGAGAATATAAGAGAGTAATATTGGCAACATCTATTATCCACATCCAACTCTCTTCCATACAACATATGGTTATGCTCCTCAATTACTGAAAAATGCAAAGTTGTTTCTCTATACTTATCTCAAGTTTATATGAAGTATAATATATTCACGCATCCTATTTAAAGTTGTAAATTATTTGTTCTTTTTCGGTCGTAGACAAAATTGTAGTAGCTACGTGAAAAGGTTGGAGTAGCTCCAGTAGAAGATAAGATTAGAGAGAGTCACCTTAGATGGTTTGGTCACATAAAACGGCGGCCTTCCGATGACCCAGTTAGGAGAGTAGAGGTATTAGATTTGACTTATGTTAAGAAAGGTAGGGGTAGACTTAAAAAGACTTGGTTAGAAAATATTAGGAATAACCTTTTTTTATTAGATTTAAACGAGAATTTGACTTTTAATAGGACACAATGGAGAAAAAAGATTCATGTAGCCAACCCCACGTAGTGGGATAAAGACTTGATGTTGTTGTTGTTGTTGTGGTCGTAGACAAAATTGGATCTCACTAATTGTCATAAATTTATATCTTATGTTTGTGATCTCTATTATGTTTGTTCTATCGCCTTTGTCTAGTTTTTCGTTTAAATTTTATAACTATCATAACAATCAGTATCAACGGTTTGGTTTATAAACTTTTAGGATTTTTATGACTTTTTTTTTTCTATTGGAATTTATCTTCTGTGAAGATTATATATTTTAAACTAACGGCAACGGGTCAATTTTGCCAAGACATAGAGAAGACTGAAGATCAAAATGTTAGAACTAGTGTATATAGACGTATGGGTGCTATCCACCATGATTTCTCTGGCAGGATCATTGTACCATGCTGCCTTCATAGGCAAAAAATACTAGGAAGGTATATATTTATGTTATATAAAAAATCTAACGTTTTTTATTTTTTATGAAGTGGAAAATTCTAGTGGGGAATGAAACTGTAGAAATCAAATGCTTGCGATCTGATAATGGTGAGGAGTATGACTGGAATTTAAAAATTACTACATCCCACATATAGTGAGCAATTTAAAAAATTCATAGCAAAATGGAGTAATTAGAAGATTGAATAGAACTTTTAATGAACATACAATAAGCATGAGATTTTATACAAGCCTTTTCAAGACTTTTTGGGTAGGTGAGGCAAACACCACAATATATCTAATAAGACGAAGCTTCTCAATTGTACTTAACTTTGGGCTTCTTGGCTATGCTTAGATAAGCAAGAAGATATGTTTATCACATTTAAAGGTTTTTGTGTGCCTATCGTATGTTTATGTTTAATTAGAATGCCAAAGATAAAATTGATCCAAAGTCTAAAAAGTGTCACTTCATTAGATTCTTAGATTCAAGGTAGATGAGGATGATTATGGATTTTGCAACATTAATGATAAAAGAACTGCAATGAGTAAAAATTATTTTTTTAATGAATTTGTAGAGAAGATGCAGAATTCCTCCAATAGACAACATCAACGGCCTTGTCTTCAGCTTCTCCACGCAATCTAATCTCCCCATGATGACATAATCCACAGGATGTATGAGCTCCGACGATATGTTCGAAAATGTGGGTTGTCTCTCGTAGGACTCAGGCGGCGATCCAACCAAAGAGTCGAAACTGGCGGTAGAGGTGGAGGAATTGATTTTATGACTACACAAGTAGTGATTGGAGTGCAGTTCGCTAGAGAAGGTGTCAATGAAGTCGAGAGAAGAAGCGGGATTGTGGGTCTGGTTGCAATACGAAGCGAAGGAGAAATCGACATCAAGCTGTGGATCTAGTTGGGCCATGGGTACTAGAGCAAAAGTTGAAAGTGGTGTTGCACTCGAACACGAAACCGAAGTGGGCGTGGAGGCAAAATCGAGCTAGAGCGGGGAATGGCCTCAAGTTTCGAAGGTGGGAGATGGGTTTGATTGTGGGAAGAAGGGGAGGCGGAATCGTGGGCAATGGAATTGGTTTCATTCTCTAGCGCAGAAACTAGAGACGAACCATCAACCTCTTGATCGGACTTTAGCTGTGATTGTGAAAGGTTAGAGACAACATTGGGAGTGCATAATGCAAGTCGCATATATGAGGGCGTTGGTGGAGCAGAGAGCGATGGGGCTGGTATGGTTGCATACCTGGTCATAATTCTCTCCAATGAATGCATGAAAGTAACACATAAAGCATCGATTCAATCAAGTGATGCTTTCACTTGAGCCACTCGAAGGGCTTCGCGGCATCGATCATCATCGACCGCCCATCTTCTACGTCATTCGTTGTTGATCAACATCCCATCTTCTTCGGTTTCGATCGTCGTCGACAACCCACCTTCTTCTGCAGTCCATCATTCTTTGCAAGCTCCAGAATATGATACCAATTGATGCAGTTGATCGGCGGAATAACCAGATCTGCTTGAAGGAATTCCTAATCTAGGGAACGAACACAAGCTTTAGAGCTTCGAAATGGATTAATATTTATTAATGCCTCTATTCTTCTTACATCATTCTATATATACTAGTCAAGTATAGAAATTTAGAGAAACCTAGAAGATTCTAGAAACATGTAATGAATCGTAGCAAACTAAATCAGATGTCCTAAGGACCATTTTAAGCTAATATGCTCCGCATCAGACTTGTTAATTGTAGTCACATAAAATTTCGGCCTTCCAATGACCTAGTTAAGTGAGTAGATGTTTTAGATTTGGCTTATGTTAAAAAATGTAGTAGTCCTAAAAAGACTTTGGTTAGAAAATATTAGAATTGACTTTTTTTTTTTAAATTTTATTGAGAATTTGACTCTTATTAGGACAAAATAGAGAAAAATAATTCATGTAACTGACCCCACATATGTAGTGGGATAAAAGTTTGATGTTGTAGTGACTTGTTGATCTATCTAAAAAATCATCTACTTAAACATGTAATTGCATATAGAGTTTGGTATATGGAGCAAGCTGAAAGATTTTCGAGATGAGAATAGATCTAGGTTCTCATATGATGTCTTAGGTTCCCAAGTCTCTTACAGTCATAATATATTGAAATGTTAGCCTTATGATGACCCTATTAGGAGAGTAGATGTATTAAATCTGATCTATGTTAAGAAAGGTAGAGGTAGATCTAAAACATTTAGTTTGAAAGTATTAAAAATGATATTTTTTGTTAGATTTAAATGAGAATTTGACTCTTAATATGACAATGAAGAAAAATGATTTAATGAGCCGACCCCATATAGTGGGATAAATATTTGTTACTATTGTTGTTATTTTATTTTGTTTCTATCCACTTTACATTGTTCTAAGAAATAGATGATAAAAATTAAAAAGAAGGAGCGCATGGCCAAAGTATCTTATGGCTCATTCATTGAAGCTTTTTTCTTTGCAATATTCTACATTAGATTAGATGTTGCATAAGTAGTGAGAGCAATCAGTAAACACATACTCAATTTAGTTTGTAGTGATTGTGCTTGCGGTTATTGGTTTTTAGCTTTGTTTTATCTTACTACTTATGATGAAATTGGGACATGAAATGTTAGAAGGGCTGTCTAGTCACAAGGAGACCGATTAAGGAGGGCATTGCTAGGCTTGGAGTCTGCAAAGACAAAACTGTCATCCCTCTACTTCTGTTCTTATTGCTGTTGATGGCTATTGGTGCTTGAGGGTATTTTTATTCGATGAAATCTTAATTTGTTAACTTTTTAAGAATTATCTTTAGTTATCTTTTTTGTTTTTCTCGTCATTCAATGCCTCCCTGATTATGTTGATATTATGCGTATGACTTCATGACTCTTTAAGTATAAGGCTCTTTTTCGGAAGTAAAATTGTTTGGTGTGAAATTGTCATGACCTTGGGTGATTGGTGGCAATTTCAATGATATTCTTTTTATGTTGTGATGGACTTGATGGTTGTTCCAGTCTTCCCTCTTCAGTTTTTTTTTTTTATTTCTTTTATTACAGTTTTGCATTTCAACTTGATTGAATTGGCACTTTTGGAAAGGTATTTTGCTGGCTAAAATCTCATGACTATTTTCAAGCAGTCATTAAACTTGACACATTTCTTATTTCATTTTGATCAGGAGAGTCATTTTCTAAGTTGCGATCAAACAACATATACTATATTACTATCGGCA